GAAACAAAAATGCTAAGTCAAGGTCTGGCTGGTGTTAGCTCTTAATTATCTACTCAACTGAGGAAAGACAGAAGAAATGCACCAGTTCTGGCAGTGCCAGGCAGGACGAACCTGAGAACAACTGGGCATTGATCTGGGCAAAACTGGGGAAAAGCTGATGAGGAATTCTCCTAAAGGACAAAAGGAAAGGCTTATAAAATTGAGTTGCTTTGCATCAGTAAAGGAATACAATTTTTATCAAACCAACCCATTGTTTCCTATGAGTTTATCTTCTCTGAGTGCTCCTGCTACAGCCTGATTATCAACCCACACTGCAGACAGCTGCCCATGTGTCTGAAAAGGGGGTTTGCTCTCAGCCTTGTACTTTCAGCAAGCTGTTTCTCAGGCTTCTATTCTACCTGTAGCTTGCCAGCCTTGTGCTTTTTTTTGTTGTTTGTTTGTTTTCTTAAAATCATCTCTTCCTAATTCTGCTCCCCCCCAACATTCTGCAGCCAAACACATCGGCCTTTTCTGAAGAGGTGGGAGCAAGGGGACCTTCTGCAAGGTGCAGAATGTGGTTGCATTTTCTCTGGTGCCCTTAAAACGTCCTTAAACAAATCTCCAGGTCATGCAAAAGCATTTCACAGTAGGTCCAATGAAGACAGCGTCGCACAGCAACTGAAGGGAAGTAAATACACAATGACAATGACTGCTGATGTTTGCAGATGACAAAAACGGCCGGCATGGCAAGCAGAAAGGAAACCAGGGCAACCCCGCAGAGCGGTGGGGTCTGCATGGCAACCTGACTTCACAACACTGGCAAAGGCAAGGTCACGCATGGAGGAACAACGAGCGCCTGCAGAGCCAGGACTGTATCCTGGAACAGCCATAACCCAGAGAAGGATTGTATTCTAAGGTCACTCTGGGTAAACAGCCCAACACAAACTCGGTTTAAGGCAGCAGGAAAACAACTGGGTGGGTGAAAAGGAAGATTTTAATTCTGTATTTGGCCCACGGGTGAGATGGATACCAGACTATCACCTCCCATCTTTGCTTCCCGTTTGAAAGGGGTGCTGAAAAATTGAAGAAAGCAAAATTGGAAAGAAGAAAGCCACACAAATTCTAATTATGGGCCCACCTACGCAGGGGGAGGGCCCTCTGCAGGCTTGGTGGCACTAGTAGTTTGTAAAATGGATCTTGTAGTTTGTAAAACAGATCCACAGAAATTCCCTCATTACTATGGACATCACGAAATGAAATATAACAGCCCATTACACACAGGTGAGAGCAAACCTTCCCCTCTAGCAAAAATCAAAACGGGGAATTTTAACCAGCTCTTCTGCCAGGGATGGTGGGGTCACAGCCCTGGCCCAGGTGTTCTCAGGCTCACTTTTAGGCTGAGCTGCTCAAGCAGTAAGAGCAGCAGCTGCTCAGCCCCAAAGGATGGGCCCTGGGCTGCCCCACGCCAGCCTTACCTCCTGGAACTCGTTGAGGAAGGAGTGCTCGTATTCCCCCCTGCATCGCTGCTCCATCCTCTCCTCGATCATCCTGTGCAAGATGGTGGTGACGGCGTCGGCGCTCACCCTCTCCAGCAAATTCAGCCGGCGGCTGCAGGCACAGAGAGTGACCCCGCTCAGAGCGCGTGGAGGGGAAGGTACAAGCAAATAAAGACAATCTAATGGCTGTAGGCACCTTCCTCCCTACATGCTCCACAGACACAGGCCTGGCTCCCAGTTTAAATACTCCAATAGCCCCCCATAGACGCGCTATGTAGATAACACATGACACTATGCTACCCCATCTTCCTTAGGAAGATTATTTTCTAGCCAACAAAAGCTTTTTCATTTAGAAGAGTTTGCTGCTTTGGGGACAATTGGCCTTAGAGCAAGAGGAATATACATACATCCCCTATATACACGGGAAGGCACTCTCCATCTAAAGATCTGCTCTAGTTCAGCCACCAGTTGGCAACCAGCTGCAGAAACCCTATGTCCAGTTCTCTACCCAGTACCACGGCACAGCCTGACCTCATGTGTAACTCCTCCTGTTTTCAGATTATCAGAAAAACCTGCTGCTGCTCCCCATCCAGACCATCTGAGCAACAGCCACCCTCCCCGTAACCTACGTACAGAATGTCATTGAGCTGCTGAAACTGCTCCATGGCTTTGGGGCACCAGCACTGCTCTCTCTTGCTGCTGCAGCCTGCGCACAGCGGGCTCTCTCCTCCGCCCTCCTCCGTGTCGCTCTCCTGCTCGGTCTCACTCATGCTGCTCTCACCCTCGTTCATTCCATCTTCTCCTTTCTTCCACTGCCGCATGTATATCCTGAAAGTGCGGCTGTAGAACTGCTGGATCATCTCCTGGAAGGACTTGGTGGTGGAGAAGAAAAGGATAGCTTTGAACATGGTGTAGACCTTTTCTTGCAGCATCTGAGCACCCGTCCCCAGCAGCAAGCCCGCTTTAGTCCACCTCTCCAGAAGCTCCAGGCTGTTCAGGTAGGGGTCCAGGCGGCACTTGAGAAGACAAAAGGCGTCCAGAAGGAGCGAGGAGCACTGGGGCTCCTCGGCCGTGTTTTCATACTGGCCGATGCAGTTCCAGAACTCAGGAGCTATGTTGGCCTGGAGGTCCGTCTGTAGCACCTCGATGAACCACTCCTCCACGATGGAGTGCAAGTCGTAGCACCGCAGCACCTCCAGGGCTGCCCGCAGCTCGGCATCCTTCAGCGGCCCCGCAGTGTCGGACCTCGGTGCCGCCTGAAAAACGGAGAGGAGAATGAGTTAAGGATGCACAGACTTCTCCAGGAGGGTCTGCGGCTGGAGAGACCACTCCTCCCAATGAGGGGGGTCCCATTGGACACGGACTCTGCTGTCAAACACCGTTCCTCCATGGAGACCTGCTGGAGTCTTGGCCTGCTGCTGGAAGACAAGTGTCGTCCCCCAGGCCCAGCACCCAAACACCAGCCACGACTGTTCCTTTTGACAGGACAAGGCTGAGAGAGCTGGGGCTCTTGAGCCTGGAGAAGAGAAGGCTGAGGGGAGACCTTATCAATGCTGACAAGTGTCTAAAGGGTGGGTTGAAGGAAGATGGAGCCGGACCCTTTTGAGTGGTTCCCAGGGATGAGGACGAGGGGCAACGGGCACAAGCTGGACCATGGGAAGTTCCACTGCAATGGGAGGAAGAACTTGTTTGGGGTGAGGGTGGCAGAGCCCTGGCAGAGGCTGCCCAGGGAGGGTGTGGAGTCCCCTTCTCTGGAGATCTTCAAGCCCCGCCTGGATGCTCCTGAGTGCTGTGCTCTGGGCAGCCCTGCTTTGGCAGGGGAGTTGGACTGGATGGGCTCTAGAAGGTCCCTTCCAACTCTGACAATTCTGTTGCCTCAAGTTCTGTGTCACAAGCCACCCTTGGGCCTCTAAAAAGCCAGGTTTGGGGCTAAAACCTTCCTCAGCCCCCGTTAGCTCCCTGGGGGAGGGAGCAGAGCCACAGCAACGTGGCCAGCAGCCCCTCTTTGTGGCACATACGCCTCCCTGGCTGGCGCCACGGGGGGGGCCGGACACCCACCGCCTTCCCCCCACGGCCCCCGGAGCCGCCGCACCCCAGACCCCCCTTCCCTCCTCCCCAGCCGCCAGCTCCGGCCGTTCCCCCCGCTTCAAAGCCCCGAAATCCGGAGGGCACCGGCCAGGCCCAGGGGAGGCGGCCGGAGCCACCTCGGCCTCCCCGCGGCAGGGGGTCAGGGCCTGCCCCGCTCCCCCGGGGGCACCAGGCCCCGCCAAGGCCCGGAGACCCGAGGGCGGCGTGAGGCGGGCGGGGAGCGGCGGCGCCTCCCCCGAGGCCGTGCCCGGTCTCCCTCCCCGCTCCCCCCTCGCCCCCCGCTCACCAGCCCCAGGGCGGCGGGCGGCACCAGGGCGGTGCTGAGGGTGTGCCAGGCGGCGGAGAGCCCCGCGCCCACCGGCGGCTCCATGCGGGCCGGGCCGCAGGAAGAGGCGGAGCGGCGGGGCCGGGGCGATGGGCGGGCCGGGGCCGGCGCTGCGGGAGTACAACGCGGAGCTGCGGGAGGGTGAGCGGGGCTGGGATGGGGGGGATCTCGGCGGCGGGGGCTGGGGCTGCGGGCTGACGGCTGTGTCCCCCCCAGGGCTGGCGGAGCTGCGGGCCCGGCGGGAGGAGCTGAGCGGGAGGATCCGGGAGGAGGAGGCGGAGCGGGACCGGCTGCAGGGCCGGCTCGG